CAAATGAAGAAATTTTATATTTTCGTCGGAATATTCATTCAGCTTATTCATTCGTTAGATGACGCCAAAAAACAAGATTCATAGGATTAATATAGTCCTAGCTCAATAATGACAATAACTGTACGCTATACAGAAATTATCGTTCATAAATTAGTCACTGATGGCAATTTTTTCGCTTTGTAGCCGACATTACACGCTATTTGCTTCTGATTAGTCGAAAAATTCCAAATGCACTCTGAGAACTTCTATTAAAAATTTTCAGGCAATTTCTATATCAGAAGTCTGTTTCCTGTATATTGTGGCAAGCAAACTTAAGATGAGTGAGTTGAGAATCCTCTATCATCCATAGCTGCAGTAACGAGCAGTCAGTGGATGCAAATCTGAAAAGAAATCCTTTGTTTTATCATTTTCTTCCACTGTAAGCGAGTGGTCATTTTTTGTAACGCTGAATATTTAGCAGAGAGGCTGATTAAATATTTTTCAAATGCAAACTGCGAAACATGACTATAACAAGAATTTGAGTCATATCAAAATATCCCTTAGGACAAAATATAATCACAAAGTGCTCCAACTTAAAGATAGGGGCAGTTTACAATGAAAAGTAGCTTGTAAAAACGATGAGTCACCGGTCTTTAGCTACCGACTAATCCCAGTTTTGGGTACACAGGAAAACTTTCATAAATCGGTCAAAATTGACCATTTTGAAGTCGGTGTTGTCCTATATTAAAGCAAAATAAATCTACTCTTACATCCGAACAGAAACATTAATAGACAGCTAATAAACACACACACACACATACACAGAAACATTGAATAGTTGCATTTCTTTTTCTGTGCTAGGGCAAACAATTCAAACTTTCCCTTTGTTCAGTGGATTTAGTAAAAAGCCTGCTTGTGCCGCAAAAATGCGTTTCAAACTAACCTAGGATAGATGAAAAAAAAGTCCACACTGCAAAGAAAACACCAGAATATACATTTTGATTTCGCTTTTTATGAGTTTTGGGTTAGAAAGTAATGGATGTCGAAGCTTCGCAGTATTTCACGTATATTCTTTTATTTTTACGCCGTATAAAAAATGTTCAATATGGTTTTTCGTAGAGAATGGAACGGTGAATCTTTTTGTAATAGAAGTTGAAATCTGGGCAATGAAAATGAAAAATGATACTACCAAAATACGAAGAGGATCATTCTTTATGGCCCATTCGTTACTATTGATCTATTTGTCATGATATTTAGCCTCAAATTTCGAATCAGATTAAAAATTCAGCTCTGTCCGACCACATGTTAGTAATAACATCAATGTTTACGTTGTAGATGTGATCAGACAACTATATTTTAACTTGAACTTTTAGCTTAATCCTATGTTTTTATATCGAAACGATTTTCTTTTTTCCCGTCATCATTTTATACATGTTTAACGATTGTAATTACGTCATTATCATACTCAACATGATACTATTCTGTTTATCGTCTTTTCTTTTACTTTTTATTCCTTGCCGGATGAAGTACCTATATATTTTTTTTTAAATTAAACTAAAGATGTCAGAGACAAATGAATTTCTAATTAACACATTGACAAATAAACATCACGTATTGCATATCATTTATGTCATGTTCTATTCTCATTAAAGACAAGTGTTCGTGCAACTTGAACTGATTTATTTCGTCAATATTTGATATTGATACACACATATTTTTCTTTATTGGAATAAATATAAACTCAATTTTAATTTTTGAAAGTAAAATATGTACTCTTATAGTGTCTCTATTACAAGAATAAAATGACACAGACTTTTTGAAATGTTGTGAGTAAAATGTGAACACTGATAATGATATCCTCCATTAAATTTTTATAGATTGATGGAACAAAATTCTTTTATCGGATTTGCCAATATTTAAATGAACTACTTTAATTATTTGATTACACAATATAATATCTTGACTTGTCAAACTTTAACAACAGATGAAGTGAACTTTTTTTAGAATTCACTTTGCTTCATTAATTGATTTATGGCATAAAAATAGTGATATAAGAAAGAAATGTTCGATTTTGTAGGTTGAATGAGTGAAAAGAAACGAAGTGAAGTCGTTTAAGTGGAACAGTGAATGTTTTTGTTGTTGTTGTGTGAGATAATTATTCTATTCTTTTAAGAGTGTCATTAAATAATTGAAATCGAAGAAAAAAAAACGTTTTTCTTCCTCTTCTTCTTCTTTTCTACTGACATTTCACACAGCAGTCAATCGAAACACGTAAACTGATTGTCTTTTTTTTCTTCTTCTTTTCGTTTGATAATTCAGCTAAATCAAAGAGATGCTGAGAGATGGCAAAATTTGAAGCTTTTGTCGTCTCATTAATATCATTAGAGAAAATAAAATGCTTTAGTACTGTCAACAGGAAAGTTGGTGGGGGGCGATTATTAAAACTTTTAAATTCCTGATCGAAGAATTCAAACTCTTCAAAATTCAGATATATGTAGTAGGGGACTATCACAATAAGCTGCAGAGCTTAGAAATGAATCTCAAATTATTGCTTTTTCTTAGCAAAAGAGAAAGCAAATAGACTTTCGTATTACGTCTACGACGGTCTCGACATCTCTGGCTTCCAGGACTTTTGTTGACGATATAGCGGACTACGGGCATTCAACTATTCTGAACACGAGTACGATGCTGAAAAAATAAACTTAAACAGTTGAATATTAATTTTTCACTTTTTTTTCATTATTATCTCGTTAAAAAGCTCACTTAAAGGTCAAGAGTAGTCGGATATGTGTGGAAATATTTTCTCTTCCTGAAAATGTCAAAAAAGAAAGTGAAGACGTAAGAGTATTGATGATGACGAAGAAAAATCCTCAAACGTTTTCACACTGTCACGTAAAAGACGGATGGTCGAACTAGAAGAGGATCGGTATAGAAAAGAGCACTAACCCTGATTAAAAATAAAAATAATCGATCGAGATCAGTGTTCCGGTCAACCAAAATTTTTAATTTCATAGATGAAATGAATAAACTTGTCTTTTCTAATAATCCTCGCAAAAACCCTACATATAAAAGAAGTTTACATTTTCGACAGGTAATAATATATGGTTTGATCCAATTTAGGTATCAGTTATCGAGTAATAACTTTCGTTTTCTATAGTACCGGTGCATAATTTGTTTTTCTCTTTTCAATATATGAAAACAGGCTATTTGAAAATTTTGCGGCAGCATTAGACTAAACATTATACAGTACTTTTTAAAAAGTGGAATTAAAATTGGAATTGGCGAGGAATTGATTAATATTTTTCTTGTTTTCGCCTTCTCAAATGCAAATACAAGCTTCATTATACCTTATTTTGTAGGGAAAACAATCGGATGTATGCAAAAAAACATACAAAACAATTGATCTAACGAGGGAAGTACCCCAACTGATAAATCGCTTTTTCAACGAAATCGAGTGGACTATAGGTAGTCGACGATGCTGATTCTGAATATCACCATGAATGCTGCTGCTAGACCTTCAAAGACCGGTCTTCTGGAAAACCAGTTTTCGAGAAACTCTAAAGAACAACCAAAAGCTTTCTTAATGAGGCGTAGTTGTAGTCCATACATTTCTGATTAAAATGAGGCATCTCCCAGCTCTACACGACCTTTCTTTGCAAAGTTATAGAGTTTACAAGAAAAGCCCTAAATTCATTTTTCGTTTTACTTTCTATAGTTCGGAGGTGACAATGAACATTTAGGGCTTTTCTTGTAAACTCTATAAGTTTGCAGAGAAAGGTCATGTAGAGCTGGGAGATGCCTCGTTTTAGTCAGAAATTTATGGACTACAATTACGCCTCATTAAGAAAGCTTTTGGTTGTTCTTTAGAGTTTCTCGAAAACTGGTTTTCCAGAAGACCGGTCTTTGAAGGCCCAGCAGCAACATTCATGGTGATATTCGGACAGCATCGTCGACTACCTATAGTCCACTCGGTTTCGTTGAAAAAGCGATTTATCAGTTGGGGTACTTCCCTCGTAAGAACTAATAATTCTTTTCAATAATCTTCAAAAAATTGGTGCATGTCTGCTTCTACTAATCATGAAGAGAAACAACTTTGTCTACAGAAGGACAGAAAAACACTAGATGCATATGTAAATACATAATTTTCTATATTTTTAATATAAGTGAATGAATACGTGTACAGATCGAGTGTGGACATCTACGAACCTACACACCACTGAAGAGTCCGAAATACAGTGGTTTATAAATATTTATAACTCTCAACTTTTTTCGGTCAATTTTTCAGCAGAAAACCGTTTATAAATCAAAAATTTATAAATAAACGTGTATAAATCGATTTATAACTATTTTGGACATTGCCCAAATCATTTTGGACTTTTTAGTGCTATCCACACTACTAATGTTGTGATATAAAATCTTCCAAGTGACAGGAGAGTGATAATTTTGACACAATCGCTCATATCGAGAAAACCCGATGACGGTCCTGAACGTGTTTACCTTTCTGATATCAAATTCGCTTCAGTTCGATTCAAAAGCCCGAGTCGAATACCGAATTATTCGATTCGTGTTGAGCTCTGATCTGAATACCAGTCTTCTATGTTCTGATTAAGAAAAAAAAATTGAATCTGTGTCGCGTTCTTCACTTTTAATGTGTACTGAGCGCTTAATTGAACGTGTTGATCAGAAACATTCATATAATTTTCTCTCAACTCCCTTCAAATTAACGCAAAACTATCATTTTCGATACTTTATTGAAAACGATTTATCTTAGATTTTCGGTTAATAGATTAAATGATTACAGAACGGTATTATTAGATTTCAAACGGAAAAAAATAGAATATCTCCAAAACCGGAAAATTATCGAAAAATTGATTATAATAAAGAGCTTATATAAAATCGAACGTCATTAATAATGATAAAAAATAGGTAGAATAAAATATGTGACGATGCACAAAAAGAAAAACAATGTCAAATTATCTATTTTTCTTCTTTTAAATGATTATAATGTGACGATAATTAAATTATCTGACAATACAAAATGATCTACGTTTTGATGTTTTTGGACTGTTTTGATTATTTTCAATTGATACTAAACAACGTCGGGATGATGGCGATAATATGACAGATTTGACAGTTGGCGTTGGAGGAATATGTAACTCTTGTAGACGAATTTGTACTATTTTTTCAACAATCATTTGACTATTATCGATATCATTCTAAACAAGAGAGAATTCATTTTATTCAAGAGTAACTCTAAAAAAGTATGATATAAAGCATTTAATATCTAGTTCAACATTTTACTCACTTTTATTGATTTATTCATTTTTGGAAGTAAATAATCGTCATGAATTAAATCTGTGTTTGAATATAAACCTTTGCTAGCCGATTTGATACAACCACAAGCAATTAAACTTGGTAATATCGTTGAACATTCATATTCTACATAAAAAAGCACAAAAAATTATTAACACTAGTGAACTTAATGAGTAATGTCTCTTCGTCTACTTACCACATGTACATAAACATAGCAAAATCTCTACATGTTGCTTTAGTTTAAGTTGTTGCATCTCAGTAAATGGTAATTTTTCTAATATTAAATTGACGTAGTCATACGGAATAATTGATGTCAAATCCCAACCAAGTTTAACACATATTGTTTGTTCAGCATCCTAAATAAACATATCTCCATTTAGTATTTAAACTATATTTCACATAAGGAAAGATCCTCAAATGACAAATTGTACAGTTGACACGCTTCTGACATGGTTATCCATATCATTACTACTCGTCGTTGCATGTCTACCCCTCGAAAAAATATATTTACATATGTAAACCGACGTGCTCTACAAACTAACAAAGGTAAAATCTGATTAAAAAATAAAAATGTTTTGTTTTAGGAGACCTGCTTTTCAAGAAACCTGTCTCCAAAGATCTAACGAGAGAACCTCTTGAGGTTATAAATCGATTTTGAACTCGGACTACTTGTATCTTGTAGACCTCAGTGAGTAGTGAAATACCCTAAGTTGGTTCATCCCCATGGTGCTTTGTTGCTGAGATATTGAATATTTAGTCAGTTTTTGCTTATAGAGCTTGAATTTAGAGCAAAATCCGACTTTCGAATTTTGACTTGAAACTTGCCACACTGGTAGCCCATGGTCATAGTAGTACGATGTGGAAAAATTCGATCCTAATGAATTTTCCTGCCTTGATATATTGAGACTTGAATATTTCACCTGAAGGTGAGGGTGAGGCTCAGATGTTTGAGTCTCAGTATCACAAGGCAGGAAAATTCATTAGGATCGAATTTTTCCCCATCGTACTATTATGACCATGGGCTACCAGTGTGGCAAGTTTCAAGTCAAAATTCGAAAGTCGGAATTTTTTCTAAATCCAAGCTCTATAAGCAAAAACTGACTAAAAATTCAATATCTCAGCAACAAAGCACCATGGCGATGAGCCAACTTAGGGTATTTCACTACTCACTGAGGTCTACAAGATACAAGTAGTCCGAGTTCAAAATCGATTTATAACCTCAAGAGGTTCCCTCGTAAGAGTAGCTCTCATTGTCATATTCGGAATCAGCAGTAACGATTATCTACAACTCCACGACTTTTAAGCTAAATGTAATTTGTCACTTGGGGACGTTGCCTCGTCAATTACAAATTTGGAAAGAAGAGAAAAAATACCCCATTTTGCACTACCGTTCACGGCGTAGAGTACTGACAGTGTCAGTTTCCATTGTCTGATATCCTGCGTACAGCTGACACGCTTCTGACATGGTTACCCATATCATTACTACTAGTCGCTGCATCTCTGATCAGAAGGCTAGCCGGACGCGTCCAACTGTTACATGCAGCTTTTCCATAACCGGAAAAACTGTGCTGACATCACAATGCAGTGTTTATGCTGTCGAACGGATGATCCGATACGAAGAACATGTCAAGGATTCTTATACGGCTTGACGAAGTTTGTGTTCGAACACAATACCGTTGAAGTACGGGAGGAAGAATATAATCATTATGCTATACTATTCAGTTGTAAAATTTACTTACGAATATTTCATCATCCGTATAATCATTTAATATTAAACTAATTTTATGATTTTCTTTGAAATTAATCGGAGTATATCGAAGTTTTTTTGCTATTTGATAACATGAAATAGCAATTAATTCAACAGATTTAATTAAACTTGATTCATTTTGAGTTAAAGACGAACAATAGCGATCAAATAAATTCATTGTTAATGGAAATACATCATTTGATATTGAATCTTGTTCACAGATCTAAAAACTAAATATATTAACGTTTTATACTACTAGTAGTAACATCACTCCACGGCTAATCAAGCAGGATGGTTGTCGATCTTCTCTACATGTAAGATCAACATTAATTGTCCATTAAACATTAGTAGAGCCATGTTAATGATTCTTTTTTCCGTTTCAATTTAATTACAGAAAATTGCAAGTTAAATAAATTAATTTTGATTGTTTTAATGAAAATCTTTTTTTGTTGCTATTACATCAAAATCTCAAATTTAACAGATTTTCTCTTCTGATCATTGATTCATGTTCAAACAGTAGATGATAAACACTGTCTATCAGTTTTCAAGTAATTTGAATTTGATAAATATTGAGATTTCTACCATACAATGTAACTGACTACTACCTCACATTAGACATTTTTCCAGAGAGCAGGCGGACATCTGGTTTTATAGGATAAAAATTGATTATTTTCGCATAGCGTTGTCTTACTATGTGTCAGATTTAAATAGAAATAAAAAAAGTCAGATTCAAAAATAAAATCTTCGGATGCAAAATCCTTGAGACGGTTCGGTCCCTTGCTCTTAATTTTTGTCAAACAATTTTTTACTTATAGAACTAATAAGTGATATATCATTCGATGCAATTTTTTATGCTGATTCCGAATCTCAGGTTATTTCTCGAATAAAAATGTTTTTGACTGACGAGGGAACCTTCCGAGATGTACCCCTCTAATTTCAATGACCTGTACATTGATCTATAGATCTCAATGAGGTAGTAAATATCCTGAAAGGATTCGGGTTCATGGCTCTTGAAGACCTTGTTTTCTGAAAAACTAAGAACCCTAAATAATAATCAAAGCCTTTTTTTAATGAGGCATGATTGTAGCCAGTAAATCTCTGATTAAAATGAGACATCTCATTTTCCAGAAAATAGGGTCTTCAAGAGCCATAAACCCAAATCCTTTTAGGGTATTTATTACCTCACTGAGGTCTATCGATCAATGTACAAATCACGGGAATCGGAGGGGTATATCTCCTAAGGAGGTTCCCCCGTAAGAAAAATGTAAAATACTTGGAAAGCCTAGATCTTGGCCTAGCCGAAAAACTGCACAAAACTACTATCATCACAGATTCAGGCTATGTTGACACACATTCTACGAAATTTTCAACGAATTTGAAGCAACTCATTAGACTGAATATAGCTCTCGGAAAAATAGTCGAATTTGGGAAAAAACTCTTTTTCGCTAAAAGACTTGATCTGAGATGAACTTCTTTTTACCAATAGATAGCTAGAAGCGTCCTGATTCCAAATAACACATTTCGAAAATTTAAACGTCATTCAGATCAATGAGAATTGATTTTACATACAGGTCACGAATATACGAGGTATTTTTTCTTCAAAATTTTACCTGCAAATTCCTTGTTCGAAACAAAAAATTTTACACCATTAGATAGCCCATCTATCAAAGTATATTTGCAACTATTCTAGTTCTAAAAAACCACACTTTCGATTTTTCGCTGTATGTCCGCGTGAATAGGTTGCTGGTTAATATAAGACGTATAGCAGCAACCGATGTAATCTATTTAAATATAAATTTTCTTTATGGTTTTCTTGTCATTACTATAAATTACTTGACATTTATCGGTCATTTTTCGTACAAAAACTTGAAACACATACCCCATGTATTGAATTCGCAATTATTTTTCGAATATTTGATTTACTGTAATTTGTCACAGACAATGATCTTTTCGTTGATTGTATTTTTGAAGAGACTAATGGTAAATAATATTTTTCCAAATTTAACATATTAATAAGTATATCATCATGATCGTTATTAATATGTCTATTCATCATGAATATCAGTGAGCTTTATGATAAATGAATAGTTAGACTGTTTGTATCACTAAAGCATTGCTCTATTTCTTTATTTTTCTTCTTCTTCTTTTTCTTTCTCTAGGCTTTCTCATAACACATCAAATTATTTCAAATCAGCTGATACGGCAAAAAGAAACAACAACAATATAACAAGCTAAAATTGACGGTTTTAATTATAGCATGTCGATGACACACGAAAGAAGAAGCAAAAAAAAGGAGAAGAGAAAAAATTGATGTCTAAGAATGAAGGTGAGAATAAAATATATAACAAACGTAATATCAACAAACAAATTAGACTATTTTAATAATCGGATAGAAAAAGAGAAGAGGAAAAGAAATATGTGATAGCTGCATTTGTGCAAGCGGTACATGAATGAATAAATTATGGCGATCTCAACTCATTTATTCTCTTCTAAATCTTGGAATAAATATTTTCTGACTGTTAAGTTGACTGTCTAGTTTCGACCAGTACTATGAACTGCATTGTATTTACATCATGGAAATAAACTTCGTAGTTTTTTTTATTTTATGAACTTCTACCAAAAGAAGCAGGTGACAAAAATTAGAGAAGTGTAAGAATTGTTCAGTTGAGAATTCGGCTGGACCAAAAATCGGGTTTACGTCCAGGGACCTCAGATCTTCATTAATTTTGGCAGAAAGATCTTGATTTTTTATGACTCTTTGCATCGTTTCTGTTTTTATGACTTCAAGAGCTCTTTGACTCATAATGTATGCATCGTATCACAGTAATATTCCTTTTCATTCGCTCAGCAGGCATTGAACAACAGTATGCCGATAACTCATTTTAAATCTTCATACTGATTTTGAAAACTAATCATTTTCCAGTCGATTTTAGAGTCTATTACGAGCGATCAAACGTGTTTTCAGCTATTCAGATCACTCGAAAACTTCAAACAACTCTGAAATTTTCTGTTTGATGTCGATTTTAAAGTGCTAGTTTTCCGTCCACAGACTTTCATAAATATCTGCTTTCCCATCGAGATTTGCTAAAAATAACGACAATTAAAAAATATAAATAAACAACGAAAATAAGTGCTGAACGAACTTTTTTTCTCATATGTTCAATTGGATCTGTCATCCGTGTTTATGTTACTTGTTATTAATTTACGACACATTTTTGCTGCAGAGTTTCTCAGTTCACTTGTTTCCGTTTTTAACATAGACAGACATATTTTCAGTTGTAAATATGTTAAACTGTTTAACATATTGTTCTATGTCTTAAAATGCCCTCATTTGTTTGTGTGCTTTTTCTTTCATAGAAAACTGAAAATGACAATGTTTAGGTGTCGAGACGAGATTGACACATTTTACATAGCTTAAATAATTAGAATAGGATACAATTTTTGATTTTTAGCTTTTATAGACGTTTCTATTCTTATCGTTTGTTTAAGCTATACAGTGTCATTGTACAGCGTTTTCACAGAATGAGTATATACATAAGAATATATTCATTATCAGTCAATTTGAATCATATAATAGTCATACGTTTGTAAGCTGAATTTTTACTAGATGTTTGACTTATTTGTGCTGATAAGAAGATAATAGAATTAAATTTTTCGCATACTGACATTGTGTAAAGACACTCCCAGATATGATTCTTCTGTGAAGATCTCACCCTAGTGAATATAATTGAGACCAACTACTTAGAAAAGTGCTTGGATAAGTAATGTCCAGAGTATCTGGAATTTTTTGCAAGTAAAAAGGTACTTAGCAAGTAACTTAACAAGTATAAGTACTACATAAGTACTTCAACAAGTATTTGGCAGATAACCTGCTAAGTACTTGCGAAATATATGTAAATATTTGAAGTTCCAAGTATTTGGCACATGTTAAATCTAAAAATGCTTCACATTCTCTAGGGTGCCACGATTACATCAACCTCTCTATGCGCCTAGACTCCATAGAGATCGTAGAGGATGCCTGGCTAAATCGTTGTACAAAAACCGCAGATCCGACGCTGATACATTGCGAGAGCTATCTCAGTTTTACTGTTCCAGCCACAATGGGACATTTTTGTCTAACTTGTCCTATCTAAAAATCCAGCTTTTACAGATCACTTCTGGAATTCAGAAGACATTCAAAATTGCTTACAAATATACCATTCGATAGCCTGTTCAATTTTTTACAAAATGTAGGATCTTCCGTATTTATATCACATTGGCTCACTGAGTCAGAGCTTACAAAAGAAGACTACGAAATCTGAGATAATTTTATGATTTTACTTGGAATTTTTTGACTACTTTCGTATTTTTGACGCCATTTCTCAAAAAAACATCGTGCAGTGGTGAATGAGGTCTTAATGTGTATAGGAGTGAACGGGCTATCGACTGGTATATTTGAGAGCAATTTTGAATGCCTTTTGAACCCTGGAAATGATCGAAAAATCAGGATTTTCCGAGATCTTTTTCGGAGAAATCTTGCAATAGACAATCTTTTATTATCATAGTATATATGGTATTTGAGGTGCTCTTTCGTTTGAGACCAAGCTCGAATTTTTCTTTTCTCGAATGAGAGACCAGATAACGACTAAAAAGTGGTGAAAATACTCTGATTTGGCTGGAACGGTAAAACTGAGATATCTCCGAGATCATCGTCGGACCTGCGCTATACATTAAAAGCATCTTTTCTAACGCTAGTACATCCCGTCAAACTCAAAAAAAACTTTTGTATATCATGGAAGATTTCATATTGAGGCACGAAGTAAACTCCTGCAACTGTTTTGACCTTTGGAAATGATTTTCTCTGATTATTGAGAAATCGTGTGTATGTGTGAGTCAAACACTTTTACACTTTTTTTGTAGTTGTGTGCTATTCAACATAATACTATCGGGGATTAGTATTGCCTTCGAAGATCAAACGAAATTTATTGCCAACGATGATCTCATTATTATTTTTATCATCATCTAACTTCGCTGTAGGAAGTAGAGAAACATTTTCCGTATTAAATGTACCGGAATCAGTATGTTGTACGGCTATTCTATATTTCAACAAGTGGCTGTATGTTTTCGTTAGGTGTAAAAGATATTATCCTTCTCTAAATTGACTTTTAATTAGATATGTATGATAGTTTCATTATTTCACAATAATTCCCTGTTGTGCCATCATTTTTATAATTTCAAGAATTTTTTCAACTGTGAAAAGAGATGAGATACGCTCAGTACATGAATCGATTATCCATAATAAATAGAAAAACATTAAGATTGTGTAATTCAAATGTCATCCTTCTGAAGAAAAAGAGAAGATATTTTATACAATAATTGTTTTTCAAAACTTTGATTATTTGCAAAAATCGAGTGTACAATGTTCTCATTTAAAAAAACATTATCATTTTAATACACTTGAAATTGAAAATTTCTTTATTGATATTTTTTTCTTGCTATCTCACACATCAACAGAGCTTGTAATACTTCCGCATTGACTAAATTGACTTCTATCATAGCCAAAAGGGATTTATTTTGATGTAACCGAGCTCTAAGAAAGACACTAATCTTTAATTGAATCAAACACGATGCCGACTGTCACATCTCGAATACATATTTAAGTAGATAAACAAAAAGAAAAGGGTGTCATCAAACATTTTGATTTTACATATTATGATTGACAAATTAAAAGTTTGAAAAATAGTGGTGCGTGACCATTTTGATATAACGGATAGACAAAAAAACGTAGGTAAATATCAGTATTAATGAGACTTTTGAGAAAAAAACGTCTGTGTTCTAATTAATCTTATGCACAATCGATGTGTAGGACAGATTTGTATAATTAATTTTACTCTGAATATCCTTTGCTCAAATTAACATACATTGGCACTCTTTTCTACGAAAAAGCACCCTATCCTCTAAAGTAAAAATGTTAAATTTTCTTAGACTATGTACTTGCTGCTGCTTCTTCTTAAAAGTGTCTTGTCATCTCTTGAAATTATCACATCACTGTCATAAACGTGTCATGAGCTTTTTCTAAATAAAACAAAATCAATTATTCACCACCAACATCATCAAACATTCGTGTTTTTAACAAAATAACAAATGATTATGACATTTAGCAAGAGAATGCCGTCAACACTCTCTCTTTTTTACATATATCGTGTTGGAATGGTACTTCTCTGTATAAGACGTGTCGATCTAAATATATATAAGATCATATCTATATTCAGAATAAAATTCTCTCTCTCTCTCTCTTTTTCTTCGTCCGTCTTTTAAGTAGTGATTATTTATCATATTAGACTTCGATTATTTTGAATCATCGACCTGTAGGACATCGGAATAAGAACAAATACCTCACAATCCACTCGATGTATAGTTGTCTTTCACATACAGACAGAAACTAAGTTCCATGAAACTAAAGTTCTGCTGTCTTCGTGGGGTACCATTTAGGTGGAGGAAGTGGAAAATTAAGGTTTTACTGCAATTTTGTCTCCAAAACTTATCAGTATCTGTTAGAGAATGATGTACATAAAATGTGATGATTTTCTTGGGTAGTAGTTATCCGAATAAAATGTCAATTCTCTACAAAATCTTACAGTCCTGTACAAAATTAAAGAAATAATTTGTTCAGTAAGTTTTTTTACTCGATCGTAATAGTCAGAATAAATCGAAAAGGTGCTTTTAATAGCTGAAAGAGTTTCCAGTGAGATGTGATTTATATCGGTTGATATGTGCACAACTGTAGGAAACCATGTCCCTGGTTTCAATTGACAACTTTTTGCACGCAATTCAGTCGTATAGAATTGAAACTTTTATCACAACATGAGACGTCTATAAGCTCTCTACGATATTCTTACTTTATATTGTGTTCATTATATGAAAGAGTCGCAGTCCGTCAAAATCAGCAGGAAAACAACAAGAAATATATTTGCGACCTTTCGTATAATGAGCACAGCTTAAGGGTAAAAAAGTTGTCATTTTGAGCTGAATATAGTCTCATGTAGAGGAAAGTCTGGGCTATAAAATGAGACCACTTCCAGCTCTCCGTGATCTTCCTTGAACAAATTATGAAGTTTTAAGTTTTTCCTTCAAAGTCTAGAAAATCTCAAATTTTCAGATTCGTAAATTTTTCTCTCCTTTTCTATATATTCAAACCTTTTTTTATATATAGCATGATAGAAGGAAGTGTGCTCTTCAAAATAAGATGTTTTCCAGAATTTTCCGATGAGTTTTCTTAGAGATATAAGCATTGCCGCAAATGCCCTGAAACACAGAGGCCTGTGTACAATAAGTGTTTTTCTCACTACGCCTTTTTTTAATAGTCCCTTCAATTGGCACACATTACCACAGATACTTCAGATCCTATCTCAGGTTCGTTTTTTTAAAAAGCGTTTTCGACTTCAACTTTCGGCATGAGTAGGTTTACAAAATGAAAAAACCGGTTTTTTATATGGGATTTTCAGTATTTTTCCAATATCTCGAGAAGGAAAGAATATATTTCGAAAATGAAAAAAATAAACCTGAGAAAGGGTCTGGAGTA